CAGGATAAAGACATGCTGTGGAAGAGAGACAGAGGTTAATAACAGATATGATTCAATGCAGAGAGGTCTGTTAACACATAGTGAGTGAGAAAGGTGACTGGAAAGGAAAAACTCAATGCATCATGGGAATCCCCGGCAGCCTGCGTCTATTGCAGCAACACACGTACAGCTACAGAGGGCGGAGCCTTACAAACACTAGACATAATGTAAACTATGAATTCTTGGAAAATCTGGTGTTTTAATGGTGTGGCCAGTTTTTATATAAATGATGTATGTTACAAACCACACATGTTTTTTGCAGTGAGACATCACTGACATCATTGTCCTGATACGCACAGATCATATGTAGTGAGCTGAGAACAAGACTTCACCAGACATCATTAGAATAAAGTGTAACTTAAAAATATGCAGAAGTCATTTGTGCTGACGAGTCGGAGCATGTCTGTTTAGTTTGTATACGTCTGCTGCGTTCATGAAAACATGCGTCTCGTTATCTTTGTCACTGCGAGAGCTCAGACTCTCCTCTTATTGAAGGTTTCAAGAACAACAACAAAAACAAACTGCATGTCAAAAGCTTTAAATTTATTGAATTCATGTAGTAGCCTGAACCATTTTTTATAGTCATCTAATGTCCTAATGTTTAAAACAGCCTCATACAGCTGGAGAGCGCTTTAAGGACAGTATGTGACAGTCTGGCCTCTTGTACAAACATAGACCTGATGACTCAAGACTTTTGCACAAACTAAGAGTTTAAAGAAATCTAAAGAATAAATCGAATCGTGAAGTCTGAACTGTCTGTTATTCAGCACCGTCCTGCGACCACGTCTCGCATCATCATCAGTGGTTCTCATGTTGTTGTGATTTATTGTCCTCACAGACAGAATCGTTTCAGTGTAAAGAAACTGCACCTGTCTGTCTGCAGTTATAGTTTTCTCCACATTGCTGCCTTCTCATTATGAACTTACAGCATGATTAACATAAACACGCATCAATTTCCCAGTGTCTGCCACTTTATTAGGCACAGCTGTTTCTCTCCATCGCGCTGCTTCCTCGACAGCGAGCTACAGTCCACAGGTAGCATCCATCCCACTGCAAACCCTCCAGGAGCTGCACATTCTAGTTTTTATTATTATTGAAAAGGGACCACAAATTAAAAACATCCAACAAATCTGGGTGAGCGCTTGTGTCTCAGGTCATTGCTAAATATTTAGTGCAAAACCTCAGAAATATTTTTTAGCATTTTGCTGAATCTGTGATGCTCAAAATTAATTCAGTGTTAAAAGAAGGTTGCACCTGGTCCCACATAAAACTGTCCGGTGAGTGTTTCTGGACTGATAACAATCATTTCCAGGCTGACGTCCTCCTGCTTTTGCTTTGTTTCTGGTGAACTCCCAGGACTTGGATGGAAACCTCCTGGACTCCTGGGAGGGAGTTCGGGTGCAGTGCCTGTGGTGTCTCAGTGACGGCCGCACAGTCCTCGCATCTGACACCCACCAACGCATCCGAGGATACAATTTTGAGGACCTGACAGACAGAAACATGTACGTCATCAGAGTAACTGAAGTACTAATTAGTCATTACTTTAATAGTAAATGTATCTGTTCTGTCTTTCTGGAGACGTCTCTGCAACTGTTTTAAGGATCTGAGAAACTACTGAACACTTCAGTCCCAAAACACTGGTTGTAGAGATGTTTGCTGTCTACAGTCTGGAATACATCGATCTATTGGATCAGTTCACAAACGAGCAAGAGCAGATTGTCCTGTATGAGATGAGAGCTAACAGCCACAGATATTCACTGCAAGTGTCTTAATGAATGTCAATAACTTCTCGTGATGAACTCAGCCAACAAAGGTCATGTTTGGCCTTATATCTGTGCGTTCATCAGTAGGTGTGTCAGCTGAT